AATAAATTTATTATAATAATATTAGTAATATTATATTACTATAATTAATCCCAGTACTGGATTGTTTAATAATAATCTGGGTGATTCAAATTTTCAGTGCTTAATCTTGAAGCTAGCTTGTCATTGTTTTTTTTATGAGCAAATGAATAAATTTTTATGAAAAATCATACACGAATATTAAAATTGTAAAATTGGATGATACATTTTCCATATTACAATATTGTATTTCAAACAAGATAATATTCTCAAACATTAATTGGATGAAGGTTGTATAGCGTGCATTTTGCAATTTAAATAAGTATTAGGGTAGAATTAGTATTTTTGTTTTATATATTTTCGATATTCAATAAAAAAAATTAAAACACCATGTTCAGGCTCATAGTCATATTAAGTATTGTCAATTTGACAGTATTATGGTAGCATTAGAATGAACTTGAATAAATTGCATGAAATTGTACGCGTAATTTGCACTAATGTTGCAATTCGTAAGAATAAGTGCACCTTGGTCAAATTGAATAGAATATGACCGGTAGATGATATTAGCGCCAAATGTGAACCAATGCCTACCTATGGACTGCCCTTTCATTTGAAAGTTGAAACCATTTGACAATCGGTATAAGACATGCTTACAGCGCATGAGTGGCATATAAAGTGCAAACTTACGCAATACATGACATAACGTTACAAAAGCACTTACGGCGAGACCACTTATGCTCGTGAGACGATGCACTTCATTAGCAATGAGTGGCAGTGCGTGAGTGTGGATGCGGTACCCCTTAGACGGCGTCACGTTATATAAGGATTCATTGAATTGCACTAAACTTGTACTGAATTTCATGTCTCTCTCATTGACTGCATTTGAATGTGATTTGAATTGAAGTGAAGTGAGTGTTAAACCATTGAAAGACTCATACTCACACACATTCATTACTTCATAAGAGTGACCCGAAGAGAGTTCATCTGATCGGCCCTTTCAATGGTTATCAATGACTGGTTTGAGGACTTCTGTGGCGGACATCAGTTCTGGGTTCGTCTCAAACACTCATTTCTCTTATGATTGTGTGCTTTAGTTGCCGATCACTACCATTAGACCCACTTTTGCACTGTATTTGAGACCTACTACTCATGCAATGAATGGTCACTGCATTGGAAGCACTCTTTTCTTTGTGCCACTCATTGACAACCAATTGGTCATCAAATGATCGCTTGTGGTGTCAAAGAGACCAACGTTTGAAATGCGATATAATTATGCATTCATTGTATATATGATTAGTTGAGACAATGCTTGGCTTGTGTTCAATGCAATGACAACATGTGTCCATGAGTGGCACCAAATATTGTCTTTAGTTTGAAATGAATTTCTAACAATTAGTTCAAACAATCAAATGTTTGCTTATATTTAAATGCATTTTACAAAGTACTGCAGTATTCACTACTTTATATTGCTTTTAATTTCATTGCCATTTCATAATATATTCTAATTAATTGTCTAATTGTAATATAGACTAACAATTGTATTGTTATTGTATAGTGTATTAAATATATTTAAGTCTTAATGCAGACTATATTATAATTTGAAATATGTATTGATTAATGAAAACAAACAAATCGTGAATCCGATGCAATGATTAGCATTTAATGATGTTTTGAGGAAATGTTGAGACAATTAGTCACAACTTAAATATTGACACTACTTATGCTAATACTGGGATTAAATGCAGCATTTAAATTAAATAACTTATTTGATTGACTTGGTGTCAAAACTTTAATGAATTGTCAAACATTGTTTGACTATTTATTTAATACGATTTGCTTAATAAGATTACTTGAAATAGCCATTTGAGACCAATGTGTTACTATGGGGTAAACTTAAGATCATAAAACTTGCCAATGATTGGTGTGATTCCCAAAGGAAGTTACAATACATTGTACACTACAAGTGTTACTGTACTAATTTACATGGTTTAGTTTTGTCTTTATTTACATATTTATTTCAAATGTCATTCCCAATTGTCAAGTAATCTAATCTTAACACTACTGTACCGGCAAACTGTCTGCTTGTTTATTTGATTAATATAGTAAATATTTGATCACTAATTTCGTATATCTAATTTTAGACATACTGTACTTAAATCTGTTGATAAATAAATATAGTAATAGCTACCACTGACAAGGTTGCTCCAATATTTAAATTTAATAATTTGCTAAATTATAAGCGTTTATATAATTTTATAATTTGCAGAGTCTCTCTATATTAGTTATCTTTATATTGTAAGTTTTCAATTACATTACTTGAAACAAAATATTGCTAACATTCATGACCTCCAGATTTGCACTATAAATAATACTAAATTTATTACCACTTGGTAAAATGCATTTGATGATCACTGGTGTATTGATTTATAAATACACACCATTACACTGTTGTAATACTGCATAGTCTAGTTCATATTGAATTACTTGAAAGAATATATCAATTGTCAGCTTTACACAGTATTACTATTCTGTACTATAAAATAATGAAAACTTAATGTATAATGTGGTATAATGATAGTATAATAAACTAAATTGAAACCAATTGATTCAATTGTCTAACAAATAATACAATATGCTGTATAAGCTATGACTTGAATAGAGCATTACATTTTAAAATACAAAATATTCTCGTTTTATAGAATCTGAATATTATGTAGATATGGTTACATTAGTTTCATCACACAATAAGTGAATGTGTGGTCATCGTAAGGATGAGTGTTGTGGACAGTTTAAGTTAGAGGTGCAAGTTCACATACACGGTAGATAGTAAGTATCTACCATGTAGATATTAATACTGTACATACATGAAAACACGTACAGTAACATGAAAACCTACATAATTTGGTATTAATATTACAGTGATTATAATAAAAGCAATAAAAAGTTTATTTGTTTTTTATTTTTGATAAATATACACAATTTTTTATAAGACTATATCTTATATAGATTTTAGATGTAATAAGTCAATATTGATTATTATAATAATAAATGAGTTGGTGTTGTGATTGACACTAATTTCTCTTTCTCTCAATACTGTAGTAAATTGTTAGAAAACTATAATTAATTTGAAATAAAGTATTGCATATAAGTTATTTTATGGTTTACATGCAATGCAATGCCGTGCAATAAAATGTCATATATTTTATATAAGTCTTATATTGGAATTGCTATACAGTAGTACTTTGTATTTTAGTAAAAGTTTTTATAGCATTAAAATGTCAATTAATAATAAAAATATGAATCAATTTTTAGGACAACGACTTGACATGGAATACAACGTCTCCTGAATTGACAGAGTATTTACGATAACTTAATGATTGAAACTTTGAAATATTGATTGAAAATCTATTCAACAGATGCTTCCGTCAAACGGCCCTAATATGGATCCCATCGGCATTCCTATGGCTGTTTGCGCCGATGGAATGCATACTAATAGCCCGATCCCGGGCTCATCTCATACCCTGGAATATCTATAACATGACACGAATCATATCCGTTGCCATCATATGTCTGTTCAGTTTACTCGACTGTTTATTCTGTATTTATCTCTACGTTCAATACGATGAACAGCGATATGCCTCTCAATTTTGTGCCCCTTTTGTTACTTTTGCAACTTTTGTAAGTTTCAAGTCTCTCTCTCTCTCTCTCTCTCTCTTAAAGTCAATTAATATATGAATTCTAACGAATTGGCGGTATTTTCCAGCTATTACTCGATGTCTTATTATTGTTCCATCGATGGAGAGGAATACACACGAGTGGAGTGGTCTGGATATTCTCGTTTCTGGCACTGGTGTTCAGTTTCCCCACTTTCTACACCTTTTGTTTCCTCCAACGCCCCGAATATTACTATGAATTCATCTCATATTTAGTCTACTATTCAGCGCTGATTGTTGTGTTTCTTCTCTCGTGTTTTGCCGATTCTCTGCCAAAATACAGTCCGACGGCGACTGACCCTCAACTCGACGAATCGTCTCCTGATTCGGAAGTCCATCTAAACTCTCCTGAAATTGAGGCCTCATTTCTGTCGAAAATAACCTTTTGGTGGTTCAATGGGTTAGCCATCAAAGGCTACCGCAAAGGACTGACCAGTTCTGACTTATGGAACCTTCGGGAAGACGACAAAACCAATACAATTGCCCCACAGTTTGACAAGAATTGGTTGAAACAAATCTCTTACTCGAAAACTAGAAAAGAGAGTCAAAATTTGGTGTCTTATCATAACAATGAGGCAACCATTGAAACAAAGACTGTCATTCCAACTAAGAATCCGGGAGTTCTTGTGACACTTATAAAGACATTTGGGAGCTATTTCGTGACGGGCGCCGCCTTTAAATTATTACACGATCTCTTGCAGTTTGTTTCGCCGCAACTACTTAAGTGAGTCTTTTTTGCCTTTCATTTAATTCTACTTTACTTATAATTTCATTGATTCAATAGATCGCTGATTATATTTGTGTCAAAGCCGACTGAAGTAGAGCCTGTATGGCACGGATACTTCATAGCACTGATGCTTTTTCTGACGGCGTGTGTGCAGTCCTTAATGCTTAACTACTACTTCAATGTGATGTTTGTGATCGGAATGCGAGTCCGAACGGCCTTAACATCAGCCATATATCGAAAGTCATTGAATTTGAGTAATTCTGCGCGAAAGGCAACGACAACCGGGGAAGTCGTGAATTTAATGTCAGTAGACGCTCAACGGTTTGTCGATTTGTTGACGTTTATAAACCTGGTCTGGTCGGCACCCCTTCAGATATTTTTGGCACTATTTTTCTTATGGCAAGAGTTGGGACCGTCAGTGTTGGCTGGACTCGCAGTCATGATACTCTTGCTTCCGGCCAATGCTTTCTTAGCCACATATCAACGAAAACTGCAAATCAAACAAATGAAGGAAAAGGACGAAAGAGTGAAAACAATGAATGAGATATTGAATGGCATCCGTGTTATCAAACTGTATGCGTGGGAAAAGTCTTTTATGGAGAATGTGTTCAGAATCCGAAACATTGAGCTCAACAATCTGAGACATATGGCATATCTGAGTTGTGTTTCCACTTTTCTCTGGACTTGTGCCCCGTTTCTCGTATCTCTCGTCACATTTGGTTTGTATGTATTGATTGACGAAAATAATGTATTGGACGCCCAAAAAGCATTCGTATCTTTGGCACTGTTTAACTTATTACGGTTTCCTATGACTATGTTACCACAGAGTGAGTCATTTTATCAGTCAATGAGCTATTAGTGCTGACCATTAATTGAAACTGTTTTTCATTTGTCAATTTTAGTGATTACTTTCATTGTGATGGTATGTTTTGTGCAATTATTAAATGAACGCATTTAACACTGATTTCATTTCCCTCAGACCTCTGTGTCTGTCAAAAGATTGAATAAATTCTTCAATTCGTCTCAATTGGAAAAGTATGTGACGAGAAACGAAGACCCGGATCATGTCATATCTATAGAGAAGGGAACCTTCACCTGGAATACGAAAGATGAAACAGATTCTGACGATAAAACTGATATTCCGGTCGCAAACACATTGATTGACATCGACATCAAAGTTAAAAAGGGATCGTTAGTGGCTGTTGTTGGCTCTGGTATTTAATTATCGCTTAGATTTTTATGTTATTTCTAATCATGATTGACGAAAATAATGTATTGGACGCCCAAAAAGCATTCGTATCTTTGGCACTGTTTAACTTATTACGGTTTCCTATGACTATGTTACCACAGAGTGAGTCATTTTATCAGTCAATGAGCTATTATTGCTGACCATTAATTGAAACTGTTTTTGATTTGTCAATTTTAGTGATTACTTTCATTGTGATGGTATGTTTTGTGCAATTATTAAATGAACACATTTAACAGTGATTTCATTTCCCGCAGACCTCTGTGTCTGTCAAAAGATTGAATAAATTCTTCAATTCGTCTCAATTGGAAAAGTATGTGACGAGAAACGAAGACCCGGATGATGTCATATCTATAGAGAAGGGAACCTTCACCTGGAATACGAAAGATGAAACAGATTCTGACAATAAAACTGATATTCCGGTCGCAAACACATTGATTGACATCGACATCAAAGTTAAAAAGGGATCGTTAGTGGCTGTTGTTGGCTCTGGTATTTAATTATCGCTTAGATTTTTATGTTATTTCTAATCAATAAAACTGATATTCCGGTCGCAAACACATTGATTGACATCGACATCAAAGTTAAAAAGGGATCGTTAGTGGCTGTTGTTGGCTCTGGTATTTAATTATCGCTTAGATTTTTATGTTATTTCTAATCATTTTAAACTTTACTATTCATTAGTCGGTTCGGGAAAGAGTTCACTAATCAGTGCTATATTAGGGGAAATGGATTGTGTGAGTGGACTGGTCAACGTTAATGGAAGGTATGTATCATAATATTATTGATTCATTTAATGTTATAATCAATGAATACAATGAATGTGTTTGAATGCCCATTAGCTCTAAGATAGCATACGTGCCCCAACAGGCGTGGATTCAAAACACTTCCCTAAAGAATAATGTTGTGTTTGGAGTGAAAGCCGATAAACAGAAATACGACAAAATAATAAAGGCCTGCGCTCTGGGCCCCGATCTGGCTATACTTCCCGGAGGGGACGACACAGAGATCGGCGAAAAAGGCATCAATTTGTCGGGCGGTCAGAAACAGAGAGTGTCTGTCGCGCGCGCCTGTTATTCGGACGCAGATATTGTCCTTATGGACGACCCATTGTCTGCCGTCGACTCACACGTCGCTAAACATATGTTTGAAAAAGTGTTGAGTAATGAAAA